AAAATTTGATGGCCAAAAAAATTTATGAGACAGACTAAACAGATGCTACTTAAAATGACTGACATTAAATCAATTAAATGACTGAGAACATCAGCTATAAATTTTCCTAATCTGTAGAAAAAAAAGATCAAGCAAAAGAGGGGGTAAAGGAGAGAAAGGAAGGAAATTACAGAAGAGAAGAAACAAGCTAGATACAAGAGAGTAATATGATTCTCCAAAGAGAATGGGACAGAAGAAATATAGATTTAATTACAAATATTTGTGTACAAAGTACATTTTACCAAGAAAAGTCCACTGTTTTCTATTCAAGTAATAAAATTTTACTGAGGTCATGTACGCTTAACTGATGAGAAGCAGTAATTTACCATGAAACTTCCTCTGAAGCTCCTGTTGCATTTGCTGGGGATTTCCGTTTTCAGGACGCATGAATCCTATCAGCCTCTGCTGCACTTTAGCAGTAGTACTGAAACAGAAATTGCAGAATGTGTGTGTTTATAACAGCTTTATTGAGATATAACACATACTTACACAGTACAATTCAAACATTTAATATGTATAATTTTTCCCTCTTCCTACTAGCGCACATCACCCAGCCCGCGTGCTCGGTCTCCCACACCAAAAAAAAACAAAACAAAAACCTTGCCAACATAAGCAAAGCATTCTTGGCGGCACTGCGGTGGCTCAACGCTGTAATCCCCAGCACTTTGGGCGGCGCGCCGGCGGCTCCGAGGCTCACGGAGATCGCCTTCTGGCTAACACGGTTGAAACCCGTCCTCTGCCTAAAAAAATACAAAAAACTAGCCGGGCGAGGTGGTGGGCGCCTCGTAGTCCAGCTACCTCGGGCCGGCTCGAGGCAGGAGACTCGTGCCCGGAGCGCGAGCTTGCCGCTGAGCCGATGATGCGGCTCGCGCCTCCAGCCTGGCGACGCGTGAGACCTCCCTCCTCACCACCCCCACCGCCGAATTCCTTGGGCCATTCAACTTCATGCCAACCACTTTATGCGCACACGCACTCACACAGAGCTACTAAAATGACCTGGACATGCTAACCCTCTTACTGACTGAGCCCATCCGCTCTCCCCTTCCTCTCTCCCACAAAAAGATCAAGAAGAAGAGGGGGTAACAGGAGAGAAAGGAAAGAAAAGGTTACAGAAGAAGAAGAAACAAGCTAGATACAAGAGTAAATGATCTCCAAAGCGAATGGGACAGAAAAATATTAAGATGAGTATCCCTAATAAAAAAAATCTAACATCTGAAATGCCCCCAAATCTAAAACGTTTTGCACATCAGCATGATGCTCAAAGGAAATGCTCATTGGAGCATTCTGGATTTCACATTTTCGGAATAGGGATGCTCAACCTAAGTATAATGCAAATACTTAAAAATCCAAAAAACCGTGAAAGCCAAAACACTTCTGGTTCCAAACAGTTCAGATAAGGGATACTCAATGTGTACCACGATACATAAAAAAAAGGAGAAAAAAACTGATTAAAGCCAAGACGTTCATTCTAAAGGCTCACTGAGAGCTGTAAAGAAGATATACCTAAAGACATCATGTTGTGATTTTTGAATTTTGGTAATAAAAAGAAAAAAGCACAAAAAAATTTCAAAGTCAACACTAAGTCACTTACAAAGGAAAGAGAATCATACAGGTAATGTACTTTTTCATCTACAACACTAAACTTTGGCAAGAAAATGGTGCAAAATGTATACGAAGATCTGAGAAATGGTCTATGATCTTAAAATTCCACATTAACTGGGCAATAAAAACGAACAAAACATGAATACATACTACAACATAAATCTCAAACATGAGCCCCAAAAACACACTAAGTGAAAGAAGCCAGACTCCAAGACCACACAGTATGATTCTGTTTATATGACATGTCAAGAATAGGCACATCTACAGAAATAGAACAGATCAGTAAGTGTGTGGGACTAAGAAGTGGGAATGGAAAGTGACTGCTAATTGACATGAGGTATGTCTCCTAGATAATGGAAGTGTGCTAAAATTGGACTGTGGTAATGGTTGCACAATTCTATGAATTTACTAAAAGTCACCAAACTGAATATTCAAAATGAGTAAATTTAGTGGTATGTAAAGTAGATCTCAAAAATCTGTTTAAAAAATTTCCATACTCAATGAAACTAATGTTACAGAAATCCAGGGACTGGTCGAAATTAGGACATATAATTGATTAATTATTGATATAATTCTATTGTTAAAGAGGGAAAATGATATGATCATCTCTGTAAAATGCAGTAAATACATTTGACAAACTCACTTACTGAATATGTTAAGCATATTCAATATGTTAAATATATGAATATACTAAACATATTCAATAAGGGCTGAGTGCAGATGGCTCATGCCTATAATCCCAGCATTTTTTGAGGCCAAGACAGGAGGATCGCCTAAGCCCAGGAGTGCAAGATCAACATGGGCAATACAGTCAGACCTTGTCTCTACAAAATATGAAATAAAAAAATTAGCTGAGCATGGTGGCATGTGCCTGTAGTCCCAGCTACTCAGGAGGCTGAGGTGGGAGGATCACTTGAAGCTGGGAGGTCAAAGTTGTGATGAGCCATGATCGTGCCACTGCACTCCAGCCTGGGCAACAGAGTGAGACCCATCTCAAAAAACAAAACCAAAAAACACCTCAGTAAGGGAGGATGCAGTGGGTCATGCCTGTAATCCCAGCACTTTGGGAGGCTAAGGAGGGAGCATCACTTGAGGCCAAGAGTTTGAGACCAGCCTGAGCAACACAGTGAGACCCTATCTCTGAGAAAAATAAGAAAAAATCAGCCAGTTGTGGCAGCACACGCCTGTAGCCCCAACTACTCAGGCAGCTGAGTTTGAAGTTGCAGGGAACAATGATCATACCACTGCACTCCAGCCTCAGTGACAGAGCAAGATTGCCTGAAAAAGAAAAAAAAAACAGAGAGAAAAGACAGAGAGAGATTAGTGGCTGGGCACAGTGGCACTCACTTGTAATCCCAGCACTTTGGGAGGCCGAGGTGGGTGGATAACCTGAGGTTGGGAGATTGAGATCAGCCTGACCAACATGGAGAAACCCCGTCTCTACTAAAAATACAAAATTAGCTGGGCGTGGTGGCTCATGCCTGAAACCCAGCTACTTGGGAGGCAGAGGCAGGAGAATTGCTTGAACCCAGGAGGTGGAGGTTGCAGCGAGCCGAGGATCACACCATCGCAGTCCAGCCTGGGCAATAAGAGTGAAACTCCGTCTCGTCTCAAAAAAAAGAGAGACAGAGAGAGATTACCTTGTGCAGACAGGAGAAAGCAAGTAGAGCTAGAAAAGAAAAGATGGAAAAGATGAAACTATCTCTATCTGCAGATGACAGAATTGCATATGTGAAAATTCAAGAAACATCAAAATTCAAAAACATCCTGCTAAAAACTAAAGAGAAATGAGTAATTAAGAGAAATCAGAAGTAGATTAGAAAATTTACATATAATTGTAGATGTAATGGTAAAATTCAATTAACAAAAGACCACAATGTTGGAAAAAAAACCAAACAAACTAAAAACATCTGACAAGTAAAATTCCAGATAATTTGGAGGGAGAGCTATGGCAGAAGGCAAGGAAAGGAAATAATAGATTTTGTTAAATTATTAATGGTGACTGAGATGTATGTCTGTTAGAATTTAAAACTAATAGAGGAAGAAGTATCATATATAGAACTTCTTAATTGGTGTTTAAGTAGAGAGAGGCTCGATCAATCCAATACAATAAGGAAATGGCAAAGGGAAGAAAATAAACAAAAAGCACAAATTCAGGATGGAGAGAAAAAAATCAAACATTTAACTAGGGCAGATGCAGTGGCTCACACCTGTAATCCCAGCACTCTGGGAAGCTGAAGCAGGCAGATCTCTTGAGGTCAGAAGTTTGAGACCAGCCTGATCAACATGGTGAAACCCCGTCTCTACTAAAAATACAAAAATTAGCCAGGCGTGATGGCACGTGGTGGAGAATCGCTTGAACCTGGGAAGCAGAGGTTGCGGTAAGCCAAGATTGCGCCACTGCACTCCAGCCTCGGTGAAGAAGCGAGACTCCGTCTCAA